TGGGAAGTGGGAAGGTAAGGGGGGGCCCCTGTGGGGTGGGCAGTGCGGATGTTACTGGCTGGGGGAGGTTCCCCATCGAGGCGGGTGACTGTCCCAGCTCAGCTGTGCCTCCCGAAACTCAGGAGCCGGTAGGCGCCGAGCGGTCTGTGGGAAGGTAAGGGGGGGCCAGGACACCCTGTGGGGTGCAGGGTCTGGCCCTGGCACAGCCACGCCGTGTCCCGATCACACAGACCAGGTCTCTGCTCCGGCAAACGCGGCTTGTTTTGCTCCCAAAAGCATCGTCTGATGGCTTGAACCCCTCCTCGCCCTGGGCCAGGGCGGGCTGGCTCCCTGCTTGCCTGCCCGCTGCTGCCGGCAGGCTTTATCGGGGCAGGCGGCGTCCTGGGATGTGCCGTGCCGTGCCATACTGTGCCGCGCCATGCCATATCAGACAATGTCATGCCGTGCTGTGCCAGGCCATGCTGTGCCAGGCCATGCCATGCCGGCCCATATCAGGCCATCGTGCTGTGCTGTGCTGTGCCATGCCGTGCCATGCCGTGCCGTGCCATTCTGCCCCATGTCAGGCCATCATGCTGTGCTGTGCTGTGCCATGCCGTGCCATGCCGTGCCGTGCCATTCTGCCCCATGTCAGGCCATCATGCTGTGCCGTGCTGTGCCGTGCCGTGCCGTGCCATGCCGTGCCGTGCCATGCCGTGCCGTGCCATGCCGTGCTGTGCCATGCCATGCCATGCCAGCCCATGTCAGGCCATCGTGCTGTGCCGTGCTGTGCCGTGCCATGCCGTGCCGTGCCATGCCGTGCTGTGCCATGCCATGCCATGCCGGCCCATGTCAGGCCATCATGCTGTGCCGTGCTGTGCCGTGCCATGCCGGCCCATGTCAGGCCATCGTGCTGTGCTGTGCTGTGCCAGGCCATGCTGTGCCATGCCATGCCATGCCAGCCCATGTCAGGCCATCATGCTGTGCTGTGCTGTGCCAGGCCATGCTGTGCCATGCCATGCCATGCCAGCCCATGTCAGGCCATCATGCTGTGCCGTGCTGTGCCGTGCCATGCCGTGCTGTGCCATGCCGCTGGGCTCACCCCGCTCTCTCCCCACAGGCAGCTGCGGCGATGCCCCGGCAGCCACTGCCTGACGCTGCCCAATGTCCCCATTGACGTGTTCATCGCCATGGGAGGGAGCGGCAGGCCTCGCACCGCCTAATGGCCCCCGCGCCCGCGCCGCGCCGGCCGCCGCCAGCCCCGCAGCAGCGGGGCCGCTAGG